CTTTTCGGGGGGCTGTCGTAGCGGCTCTGGCCGGCGGAGGTCAGCCCGGGGTTACCGGGCCTGGAGGAGTGGGCTCAAGCCAAGACACAGAGGAGGGAGCCGGCAACAACAGCGAGGACGAGTACGAGAACGCCGCCCGGCTGCAGTCTGTTGACCCGGCAACAGTGGAGCAGGTAGGAGGCGTAAAGCTGTGCTGACACAGGCTAACAAAAAGAGTACTTGAGCTAACAGCAAGACCTAAAAACTAGAATGAAGCGTTAAACATATCAAACAAATGAAGAGCTAACTGAGTTCTTGTCGGATAGGTAATTAGCCGCTGTCTAGAAACGACAGCGAATCTCATTTAACAGTGTCAAATGTAATGTGACACATTTGCAACCTGCTAAAAGTGGCTAACAACCCACACTACTGCCAGTGAATCGTTGTAGCCGTATATCAAGGTGTATTTAAAACCGGAACTAGGAGTCCAGGTGAAAACAACACCTGTTATCTCCAGGTAACCACAGCAACAATACTGATTCTCCAGGCAGTTGGTGGATCAAACTAATACGCATGTTCCTTAGGAGAAAGAAAAAAAACACATGTCTGACATTCAAGTTTTACATTTGTAGCCAGACCTCAGTATAACCTACCATGTACTCAGGCAAAGAACACATGATCCAACCTTGTTGTTGTTTTAATTGTGGCTTTATGCGGTGTGAAAACAGACATTTTGTTTAATAATACTTTTGTATCATACAGTGGTGTCTGGTAAGAAAGAGCTTCCTGATATTTGGCGTTTATAATTAATATATAAGCAGCTTTAGAGAAAAAAGGCTTGATCTAGCAAAGGCCATATAGGTTTTTAACTACTGGTCTACTTTTACAAGCAGAAGGACAACTGCTGCTGTGTTCTGTGATCCAAGAACTAAGTGAAGGCATTTCTTCAGTCTCAACACTATTATTATTGTAAACACAATTCTAGTATTTTTTTTTAAAATGTGCTTTAATAGCACTGTCGTAAACTGAAGGGCTTTTCTGTGAGATTTTGATTGACCTTTTGAGTACTATTTGATAATAAAATACAAAAGAACAAGGAATTGAGGGAATTTAAGGCTTTAAGGTTTGTACCTGTGTTTACATTACACCTGAATGGCTTTTTGTGGAGGTGTTTCCCTTCACAGTGGAGCGAGAGCACTGAGAGAATACGGAGAAGAAAATTTGAATGCTGAAAAGACCATTAAAGAGCAGGTGCAACAAAACAAGTGTAACGAGTACAACTCCCTCTAAAAAATATAATCTGAAAACATATCTACCCATTATACTATTTGTATTGTATGTTTTTCAGGTAGGTTGAACATGCGTTGGGCAACTAACCATCTAACATAGGTCTGAATAATATTCATGTAAAATCACTTTGTTGACCTCCCTTAAACATGACTTATACAATCATTTAACAGTCACGAGCAATTATAAAATCACTCGCGTCATATTGTCATTTTCTTCTTTGAGAAAGTGTGGAGAAAAAAAAAGTCTGTCCACACTGTAAGCTGAATGGCCTACTTAACAAAACTGGCCAATAACGATACAGACACATACAAAAATACATACAAAATTTGAAATGTTTTATTTAAAAAGCTCCCGTCAATACGTAGGAAGTCCCAACATCTTTGTTGGTCTGCATTTACGCTTAAGTAAACCACAAATCACCACGTTAGCGTACAATAAACCGCAGTTCAGATCTGTCCACTGTTAAAATTGTCTGCTGCACGTAGCTGTCACAGTGATGTTAGCAACAGAAATGATCATTTATATATTTATCTTAACTGTTATGTTTTCACCTTTCTTCTATTATATAAATGTGAAAAAAACAACGGTTTTCAGAGGTAGATTTTGTTCTGCTGATTGGTGAAAACCAAGATCTGAAAATAATCAATGGGCAGGAAAGATACGATTTTTAAGTAGTTCTTCCTGAATGCTAATGCATGTGTCCCCGTGTTTCCAGCAGGAGCACTGGTTTGAAAAAGCTCTGGGGGAAAAAAAAGGCTTTGTGATCAAGAAAATGAAGGAGGATGGAGCGTGTCTGTTCAGAGCTGTGGGTAAGTGGCTGAATTTGCACACTTCTACTACCACAAACAAATGCACTAACTCACTCACTAAAAAACACTCACGCACATTTAATTGAAGGAAGATAATCTTTGGAATTCATTTTATAGATTCTCAGTGGGAAGGATAACCAGACTTTGTCCTAAATGGTGTACCGGAACCTGTAAATGTGCTCGTTTTTATCGCTTGACATGTCACTAAGAGTACTTGTACATAGGAAACATTGCCAGGATTTTGGATTTAAATAAAGTCTGAAAAAAGGTCATCAGAGAGGTCATACAAATCTTGCCTTTATTTTGAAAGCCATAGCTACGGTATGTGCAAAAGGAGGAGACAAACAGTAGTGCATCAAGCGTTTTTTTTTGTTTTTTTTTTTCTCAGAATAGCAAAGATGTGGAATGGCGTACCAGTATAGCACACGTGCCAAACTCAGGCCCAGAGGCCAAATTTGGGAGTAGGCCTGCCAGTATATAGCGACTATATACTGGCAGTTATGTGCTATGTCATAGCACGTACATTTTGTTTGTTGTTGGCCTGTGAAAGAAAGATTTACATTAAAAAGGAGCTCTACTCTACTACAGATAAAGAGACATAATAAGAAACAAAATACCACTGATGTGTGTCTTATTTTAAATTTATTATAATATTAAGCCTTGGTTGTTCCGGAAAAATTCTGCATTACGTCATCTACGTCAATCTTTCAATAAATATTACGTTTGGCCCGCGACATTGTCCCAGTTTTTAATTTTGGCCCACTGTGAATTTGAATTTGACACACCTCCTTTATTGGCATAGTACATTCTGAATTATAGCAGTAAAAACTATTCATGCAAAATGTAGACAGACGTGTGAATCCTCTGGCCTATCATTAGCATTTGCACGCTCAATAATTAACCAGACAATCAACATAATCGGACCGATGCGGAACAATATATAAGACGACCGTAAAACATCATCGCTCACTTACTGGTTTAGGAATGCACTGGGGCCGTCAATCCTCCTCTCAAATCAGGTTTGAATTTACAATGCTTTTTCTGTTAAATACTCCAGTTACATTCGAATTTTTAAATTGCTTTTTTTTACCTTTTAACTCAATATAAACGTCATGAAGATAAATTGAAACATTATAAGGCTAGATAAACGTATGTTTTTTCTCTGCTCTAATAATATTTCGATAACATATATATTTATGTTGGCATCCCAGTGAGCAGCCGACAGGGCTTGAGATGAGGTAGGAAGCAAAAAAATGAACTTATTCTCGCTTGCATTAACTGGGGCTCTTCAGCCTCTGCTAACAGTTCTGTGTACACCTGGTGATGCTTTGAAAGTTGCATAGTGACGCCTTGTAAAACCTGCAAAGGACGGGTTCTTTTAATGTTATTTTCCTGTTTTTTTTTTTTTTTTGGGTTTTTTTTTTTGACGTAAATCACACAACGCTGTTTAGATTTTTTCGAGTTCATACGTCAGTTTACACATTTGAATGTTCTCTTTTTTTTTTTTTTAAATAATAATGTAATAGTAGTGAAGTTCGTTCTGTCGCTCTGACCTAGAATGCACTCCCTAATAGTAATAATAAATAAATAAATAAATAAAAGAGACGGCAACTCACAGATGTGAAGAACTCCAGGACCATTAGTTTTCTGTAAAGTAAATCACAAAAATAATGTAATATATATATATATATAATTTCATCGATATTTACTGTTACTTCTTTGTTCAATGAAAAGTTTTGCATTGGAGAAAATGTTCAGGAACCACTGATTTTAAATTATCATTTTATTGCAACCCTGCAATTGAGAAAACCTTTCATATTCAATCTTGATGTCGGCACTGGTTATTTGTTACTTCAGGTTCCACTAAAGAATAAACAAAAAACTGGAAAGAAAAACCTGAATTGCATGTCACAAACAGCGCAGGCAGTGTAGCTATTCTTGTATCACAGGAACTGAAACTTGTGACCTCAATCAGCTGACAATATGTCAGTAACACTGGATGCAGCATGGGCTGCATTGTAATGAGGACAATTTTCACAAGACCGCAAGAGTGACCTAGGGTTTAGAGTAGGGCTGCTCGATTATGGCAAAAATCAGATTAAAATCACGATTATTATCGATTTGAGAATATGCTTGCACCGACTTTTAAACATTATTGAAGGTTAAACTGACAAAAACGTGTTTAAAACAGAATTCCCTTTAGCGTTACAAGGAGATTTGGGAGGAGTAGATGGTTTCCTTCCAGCCGAGCCAGAACCAATTCATTCCCCAACCCCCCTTCCATTACCTTAGCCTAGTATAAGCCTGTCTGCCCGCCTTTTGATGTTACCATTGTGTTAGTGTAGGTGAGTGTCATACAGTATGTTTTTATGTCATATTAATCTGAAACCAACTTTTGTTTGTTTTAAAGTTCTTCTCATCATTTTTGGTTCTGTGCATACTCGGTGCTTTGTTCAAATTCATACATTTGTTAACCTAAATTGTGATGTGCAGCACATTAAAGAATTCAACAGCACATTTTCCATAAAGTCTTTATTGTGGCCTAGCAGTGGGGGTGTGTGGTTCAGAGTCGAGTCCACCAGCTGCCAAGTTACACTGAGGTGCTCTGAGCATGTCACCGTCCCCACACACTGCTCCCCTGGCGCTTAAAGCTGCCCACTGCTTACTTTTGTGATGTGTTAAAAGCAGAGGTCACATTTCGTTGTGTGCAGTAGTTCACTGTACTTCCTTCCTGAGTTTTTGTGTGGCATCTGTGTTTTTAATAATTCCACCTTGTGCCTTATTTTTTGTAAAATTATCCCAAATAGTTAACTGTTCTTCCTACTGGTCAGTTCAAGTCATTACGCTGTAAAACAGTTCAATTATAAATTATACTTTTTCAAATCCTGCATGTTGGCTATTTGGGCATTTCTATTTGGGCGTAAACGTAGCATGCGTTAGGGACAGAATAGTAAAACGGCGACTACAAGATGGTTTCTACAATTCATGGAAAAAACAATACTGGCTCATCATTACATATTTTAAGCCTAGAAAGCATTAGCAATACGTGATGGTGGAAGAAGTAATCAATATGTGCAGCCGTTTTTGGCCAAAAATGTGGTAAACATTTCAGTACGCCACAAGCGATTCCAGCATATTTGGCTAAACCTAGGCATTCCATTATCAGGTTTTCAATAACGGAGGTAAAACCGCTAATGTTTTCCTACAGATTTTTCAGAATTAGGCTAATATCAGGAGGCCAGCCGATATTCTCAGACATCCCTACTTAAAATGTTGTTTAACTAAAAAACAGTTGATGATGAACTGAGTTCTGACAAAACACACAGGTAAAGCGTAAAGCTTATAAGAACCGGGTGATGTCATCGAAATGTCAGTGACATCACTGCAATACATATAAACACGAAAACGTTTGTGAGAAACAAGAAGTCGCGTGTGTGTGTGTTCAGAATCACTGCGCCGATGAACTGAAGTTGTATCCATGTATAAATTCATCCAGCAGCCTTTTAATTTCAGTGACTGATATAATGATTAGAAATAATTCCCTGCAAACAATAAACCTTTGGTTGACGCTTCTTTAATTTTTCCCTTTTTTTTTTTTGACAAATATAATTATATATTATAGTTTGTCAGTGGAACATACTTACTGTAAATCATTTTATTTATCTGCAAAATAAAGCTTTCGTTTAAAAAAACCAATAGGTTGTTCTTTGAAAATATTTTTTGCTTACTTTTTAACAAGTAAACAAACATTTCTGAACAAGTCAAGTCAACGTCTTTGTTCGAAAAGAATATTTTTGATAGTTTACAGCATAAAAAAGAATTGTACCTATATAAGCCACACTATTCTCTATTCTTCTATAAGCCGCATGTGTCTACGTTGCAACGTGGGATATTTACACAGATATTTTCACCTTGATTTATATAAATACTTTTTTCCGAACAGCGCCTGTAACACGGCTGGTTACACGTTAGCGTTTTCCTCCTTCGGTGCCCCGATCGTAGTTGGAATGCACAGGGGAGACATATTGATCTGCTCCAGTGCCAAAGCTAACATTAGCTCCCGGGGCTAACTCCCTTCACTTTGTTCTTGTCCGCAGCAGAGGTAAACAGAAACAGTGAAGTTGGGGTCTTTATTATCAGCCTCAGAGTGTTAACAGCTCCTGTATAACCAACTCTCACTTCAACATGACAGGGCTCAAACTGCTCTCAACTTTCACTACCGTTCTCTCTCTCTCTCGCCCCACACACATATACACACACAGCCATTCACAGACAGACATATGCTACTAGTATAACACACAGTAGCCTATCAGAAAAGTCATCGATCGCTAGCGGTATGAACTTTCTCACTTTCTAAAAATCCATAAATTTTCAAATCATGTATAAAAAGTAGCGACTTATAGTCCGGAAA